GTGGCGGCGGCGGCGGCGGCGGCGGTTTTGGAGGTGGTCACGGAGGTGGCGGTTATGGCGGCGGAGGTGGTGGAGGCGGCGGTATTATCATAGACCATGGAGGACATGGCGGCGGCGGTGGTGGCGGTTTTGGAGGCGGTCACGGAGGTGGTGGTTACGGCGGAGGAGGTGGCGGAGGCGGCGGGATTATCATAGAACACGATGAACATGGTGGTGGCGGCGGCGGTTATGGAGGTGGACATGGAGGTGGCGGTTTTGGTGGAGGACATGGAGGTGGCTTTGGAGGAAGTGGTGGATACGGAGGAGGACACGGTGGTGGTTTTGGAGGTGGCCACGGCGGTGGATTTGGAGGTGGCCACGGCGGTGGATTTGGAGGAGGAAGTGGATATGGAGGCGGTGGTGGCTTTGGTGGTGGTCACGGAGGAGGTGGATTTGATGGACATGGCGATTTTGGAGGCGGACATGATATCGGTGGAGATGATCATGGCTCTAGCGGTTATGGCAATAGTATATCATCTGATTTTGGTAGCAGGTAAATGTCGAATTTTGCTAAATTTAATTTGTAGAAATAAATATTAATAAAAAAAATAATAAATCTCAATTATTGTACATAAATTATCTTATATGCGTATAATATTTCGTATTGATATTTTTTCAGTGGCCATGGCGGAAGCAGTTACATTTCTAGCGGCTTCGATTCCTATTCAAGCGGTCACGGCGGTGGCGGAGGCGGTGGTGGTGGCGGTGGCGGTGGTTACGGTGGAGGTCACAGTGGTGGTTTCTCCGGTTATCACAAAAAGAAATAAGAAATTATTCTACTGAAATTATTCTACCAATATGTTGGGCATTGGGATATTTACAGCTGTAAATGTCTGCATACTGACACATTTTCAACTGATATTTGATTGATTCAAAAGCAAGTTTAAATCTTCAGTAGAAATCATTACGCTGCCACTTTAATTGTGTGATATATCATAATATACAAAGGAATCGTAATACTGCCACTTTAATTGTGTGATATACGATGATATACAAAGAAGAATTTAATATTTTTTACTTTTTTGTATGAACTTATAAGACTGTAATTTTGTCGGTTTTTTTTTAATTTTTATTAGTAATTTTCGATAACCATTTCAACAGAAATACGTTAAACCAGACTACTTTCACTGACTTTATATCTGATTATTGTTTGACATAACGAAATGACGACAAACTGACACGTAACTAGAATTTATATTTCTATAAAGTCATAGGAAAGACGGCTGCATAGATTCATAAAAAATAGTTTTTTTAAACAATTAGTCAGTAAAAAATTAATCTGACGTTTTTTAAAAATAAATTATCTTACTCTTTATAGACTAATGTAAACCATTATATCAAATAAACCCGATTTAACTATTATATTTGTGACGCCGTAAAAATTAGACAATCTTTTCAATTGTTATAGAATAATAAATTAATACAACAAAATATTGAAACAAATACACGCTGACTTGACTCGACTAATTTTTACGACAGATTTATGATACACCGCGAGAAAAATTTATCATAAAAATAAATATTTTTTGGAAATATTATTTGAATACTTGAAACTTATGCACGACAAATCACAAGTTTTTAAAAATATATATTGCTGAAGACATTATTTCAGAAGTAGATATAGTAGAAAATGGAAATATTTACAATTATAAATTCAAGTAAGTATTAAAGACATTTAAACTGGTTTGTGATAAAAACTATTAAACGCATATAATTATAAAAAAATCGTAATAATTCAAGATTACGATTATGTTATACATTATTTTTTATTATTTTTATATTTTTATACCTCATTTTTAAATCCGGCACCTCGGTTTAGATCTTTACGTGCTTACTT